CCCCGGGGGGGGGGGGGTGTTGTCACTAGGTGGTCGCAGGGGGTTCCATATAACCATTCCAACGAGGACCAAGCCAGTCGCCAATCGGCTTCTGGGGCTCCTTTCAGACAAAATGGAGGGAAATGCTAACGTTTCCTCAGCATCGACTCCTCACTTGGGAACTGAAATCTTGACACGAGGCTCTTATGTAAATTGTGAGATGTGGGATGTTGCATATAAGGGTAATAGGCATAGCTAGCTAGCAAAATGCATGCTGTAATGGCAGAAATGATATCGTAGGTGCCCAAGTGTGTTGATGGGTGCCATTTTAGCCACACTCATAAGATCAGGAAAACTAAAATGGTGAAAAACAATTCAACTCTATATCACCACAACTCACTGCTGCATAGTTGTGAATCGTTTTTTATGTTTTAATTAGTAATTATTTTCAAATAAGTATATAGATGTAGAAACGAATCTTTCTTGAAATGTATTTGTTTTATTTTGAGTAAACCAGAAAGAGAAATATTGCATGTGCGGCAAGATTTTTGGTGTATCAGTGAATTGCTGTTTCTTCCATATGAGAAGACGCTCGCCTATCAGTCAAATTTGTACTGACTCGATCCATTCAAATAGCTCAAATCCCGCGACTTGGAGCCTTGCACTTTATTTGAACATGGCAGGGGAGATGGATAATGACAACGGGTGAACTTCATGTCAGATGTTCAATATGAAAGGAATGCTCACACGTCAGTCAAGTTCGCACCACTAATTTTCATTTCCCCTGGATAAATCATCCCCACGTACAAAACATTGTGTCACCTTCTTTTCTTTCACGTGCAGCACTTTAACTTGTATAACGCTACTAACTGACTGACACAAAAGAATGTTCACTAGTGAAATCCACCTCTGAAAAGAGAACAAATGACTGCACTGACATTGACTCGCATGGCTATAACTTGCTCTGTGGAAGTAGGACTAATTAAATCACTTTCACATGATGTCATAAATATATCCTCCCCATATATTTTATTGCCACATTCCAGCTCAGCCTCTCGTGTTTTTCAGGAGAAGTTCTTGGTCGAAATCTTGCTATTTGCATCCTTCATTTGCCTGGCCGTCCCAGTAGTCTGGCCAGGATTGCTGAGGTGGAAAGCTCCTCCATTCAAGCAAATGAGACTTGCTACTTAAATGAGAAAGAATGGCTTCCCTTACAGCGATATTATGAAACGCACAGCACCGCCATTTCAGACGCATTAGCGCCAATAATAGGACAATGTTCATCTGACTGCCGGAAACAATGAACTCCGGCTAACATTATTACTCTGAATCATGAATCTATTCCTCATCTGCTCTATCAAATGAGGTGTGAGAAAACAGCCAAGATTTTTTATTTTTTCTATTAAACTATGGAAATCCTCATACTGCATGGATGTTTGTGCAAACATTTTAAAAAGAGTGAGATAAATGGGAAGCAAAACAGCAACAGTCAAGAGAGGGGAGCTTTTAGTCACCTTTTTGGAGAGTGGGAATCTGACATTTGCATTTTGAGGCCTTTGTATATTTTACAGCTCTGATAAACTGATGCAAAGGACAGAGTGAAAGTATATTTTTACAGGAGAACACATTCATCTCCTAAACACAAAATATTTGGATTGATGATTCTTACACATCCTTCCTGAGCCGTTGCCTTATGGTGGTGGAGGGGTTTTGTCTCCCAATGATCCTAGAAGTCGCTTGTCTCTGGCTTTATGCCCATGGCGGGGTCACCCATGACAAAAAGATCCCGGGTGAAAACACAGACAAAGTGCGGCTCATGGACATCGGGGAGAGTGCCTCTGGATTGGCAGACCGGGGTGGTGGTCTCTCTTTTTCGAATGCAGACCGGAGGGCATGCTCCGACGACCGCCTCCCTGGTAAGGTCTATTTACGGGTGCTGGAGACGAGATTCTGTTGGCAAGTCAGATTCAGGAGGAGCAGTGTGGTTCTCGTCCTGACCATGGAACAGTAGACAAGCACTACACCCTCTACAAGGTACTCGAGGATGCATGGGAGTAAGTTCGTCCAACCTGTCATCCAAAACAGGCTGGATAGGGTCTCTTGAGGACTGGACTTGGGCACCTCTGTTTGAGATGTTGCCCTCCTCCAACACACCTGACTCAAATGATGATCCACTCATCAGCAAGCTCTGCTTCTCTCTGACTCCCGTTTTACTCAAAGCTATGTGGTTGATACCCAAAGACTCATGCTCTTTGTTTGATGTTTAATGGACAGTAAACTTCAACTGGGAGTGGCATTGAAATGTTGTGTTGTGAAATGAGCTGACTTTAGTGGACTGCCGCCATATAGTGTTCGGAGCTCCAATTATCGCTTGCAAGTTCAAATAGAGATTCTCAAAAAGTCGGCACTGTGTTTTGATGGGTGTAT